TAAAAACCCAAAATGAAGGTATTTGGAGAACTTCCAGGCTGGTGATTGGGGCAGAGTGACGCATTCTGGAAACTCCTCTATGCAGCTCTCCCATCAGGCTGTTCCTTTTGTAATTAAACTAGTAACGCAGTGAGTAAATGGGTTTCCTGAATTCTGTGAACAAATCAATTAAACTGAAGATAAGGGTCACGGGGACCTCTGATCTACAGCCAATCAGTCAGAAGCACAAGTGACAACCTGGACTTTTGATTGGCAACTGAAACAGAGGGCAGTCATGTGGGACTAAACCCTTAACATGTGGGATCTAATACTATTTCTGGGTAGACAGTGTCGGAATCAAGATGAATTGTTGGACACCCCGCTGGTGTTGGAGAATTGCTCTTTGGGGGTGTGGGGGGGAAACTCCCACACCACACACATTGAAATTGGGTGATCAGGACTCATTTAGATGTTCATTTTGAAACTAGAAAAGTATTGTTATTGCAGTCTCTATGGACTGCCCTAAGATAGAAGGCAAGGACTTAAGAACAATTCCAGATAATAGCTTAAAGTAGAGAAAGCAAGAAGTCATTTGGCCTGGCTAAAAGTTATAAGAGAAACTAAGAAAGCATTCTGTAAATATGGCCAGGATATTGTTAGGTAGATCTAAAACGTGGACTAGATTAACTGAAAATATGCCTGGCTTTGAGTATTAAGTCTAAGTAATGAAAATGAAATAGTGGTCCAGACAGAGGCCTTTGAAGTAAACTCAGTGACAACTGGGCAAAACAAGAGAGAACAAAACTCACCACAGCCACACGAGCAAGAATAACAGGAAATCCAAAGGCAGAAACAACAATTCCAGTAGTGAAAAAATATGCCAGTTCCCGACAGGCACTGCTTGTTGCATCAGAGTCATATGTTGCTCTTTTGGCAATGAAATGAGGAATGGGAGAGATGGCGTGAAATATCAGGACGAACAAGGGCCAATAAACACTGTTGGTTGGACCCAGGAGAAATGCAAAAAGAAAAGTTACAGTTAAGACATTCTACTGTTTCAAAGTTAATATTATTTTAAATATAATTTTTAAATTATTTTAAATGAAATACAGTATATTTCAAGAATCACCAAATAGCCCAGCCAGTATGGCCCAGTGGTTGAGCATCGACCCATGAACCAGGAGGTCATGGTTTGATACCAGGTCAGAGTACAAGCCTGGGTTGCAGGCTCGATTCCCAGTAGGGGGCCAGTAAGAGGCAGCCAATCAATGATTCCCTCTTCCTCTCTTCCTTCCACTCTGAAATCAATAAAAACATTTTTCTTTTAAAAAGAATCACAAAACAATAGTGAGGTTTTTTTAGAAATTCTCTAGTTTAAAGCCATTATTGGACAAGTGAGGAAACAGACACAGGTTGGAAAAAAGGACTGGACTAGACCCAGCTGCTTCCTGACATACCCACAGCAAAGAGCTCTTAATTCTTCCTAGAAAACAATAAGTTTTCTAAAGAAAATCTATGTTTCCATTTACAGGAAGCCATTGTGGACAAAAAAAGGAGGGGGGTGGGTATACACAAGTTCAGTAATGAAATATAATCTCACAAGAAGATCTGATCATAAAATCTTAAATGAGCAGGTCATGGTGGGTAGTCACGCTCCAGGCATATAACTTTCTTTTTTCCAAATATGGTTTGTTTGTTTTTTATTGATTTCAGAGAGGAAGCAGGAGGGAAAAAGAGATAGAAATATCAATGATAAAAGAGAATCACTGATCTGCAGCCTCCTGCACGACCCCCACTGGGGATCAAGCTCACAACCGTGGCATGTGCCCTGACTGGAAATCAAACTATGACCTCCTTGTTCATGAATCGACGCTCAACCACTGACCACACTGGCTGGACAGCATATAACTTCTTTAGTGAAAGATTTATCTTTGCCTTAAGCAAGCCCTGTGTATTTTTCTGTGTATCCAGGTTAATACACCTTTGAAATAAGCATAGCTTCCCTCAAGAGAGCACATAATCTTGTTAACTGTACCTTGTTTTCTCGCAACTTCAGGTAATCTTCGGTAATTGCATTCTCTCCTTAATGTCAAATGCATAAAAGAAACTGCAAAAACTATTATTCTTCCGAGCATTTGAGATCTTGCTTTCCAGCAATTGTTGTCAGTTTTGGCTTAAATAAAGGCTTATAAAAATCCTCCACAGATTTAGACACTTCTTACATCAACAATATAAATTATAAATGCCTCAAAACAAAATTTGGGTCCAACTGTTTTTTTACACATTAGAGAGTTTTTCTCATAGCCAAAGGTCTCTGTTTGTGACTACATGTGAACACTGAAAATGTGAGATAATTTTCTACTCCGGATGGTATTATTAAAATTAATTTAAAGGCAAGCACTTGTGATTGGGTATTTCAAAATTCTCAGAAATATAGAAACTAACTCAAATGCTTTGTAAGGTCACATGATCTAAGATTAACCCTTAATAAATAAAAGCTAGTTTAAGTTTGTTGGGTTAGGCAGAACAGACATGTCTTTTGAGTTGATATTTTAAATATAATACAGTTATATTATGTTTTATCCAGGGTTTTATAAAAGTAAGTCCATGTTAATAATTGACTTTTACATCTATGAAATGTTTCTAGAGTTTATAAAATGTCTTCATAAATTTACTTCTTAGTTTTCATTGGAAATTAAGGTTTTAAGGGTTAAAATCTCAACATATGTAGGAATAAGTTTCCTGTGCTCCAAAATGAACCCTGGGACAACTCAAAAAGATCTGTTCTCTCTTCTTACAACAGAGACGTTTTAAACTAATCAGGACTGTTTTTGTATGTTAAATTGCATGGGAAGCACTGTAAAATAAGTGATGAAAGACTTCTAAGGTATGCTACCAGGGTAAAAAATGGCTGTAAATAAAATGAATAGTTGGGGATATGGGAAACCCAAGATGGCTACTTGGTTCTCTGAGGCTCCCTGACAAACACCATTTTTTTCAGTATTTATACATTCCTTCATGACTCATACTGCATTCAAGCTGGACTTAGATTGGATGAAGGAACTTATGAGCTGCCATTATTGAAAGGAGACAGCTTACACTATTGTCAAGGTTTGATAAAGTCACTACCAGAAAATGCCAAATAGGTAACCGCTTCCTTTCCCAGGAAGCAACCAGAAGACAAAAGACTAAGAATCATTAACTACCACCTAGAGGTTTTGTTTACTGGAAAGGACATCAAATAAAACACACTCTCCAACCTCACTGGAAGGGACCTTATCAGCACCTAACCACGAACAGACATCTACCCATCTCTGACACTTGCCTCCGCCTACAACAGACATCAAAGACTCCTCTAGAATGAGAAGCCACTGACATCAGAGATAGACAGCTCTCCCAAGACACTGACAAGGCCTGTGTCTGTATATCTTCAGATCAATGCTAAACTCAGAAACCAGTTTGTTTTTACCTGTATGCTAATGATATGTTATAATAATATACTTGTTCTTTGGGTTTTGCTAATAGTCCAACTGCTTATGATTACTGAAGATGTCTATGATAATACTCTTTTTATAGCTATATACATGTTATACTAAATGAAAAATACAGAAAAATGAAACAGACGGCAAAACTTGGATCATGATAGTTCACAGGACAGAAATGATCCAGAGTATTTTTTGTAATGAAGGCCCATAAGACCTGACTAACTTCCATTTACCTGATCTTCACTTCTGGAAAAATTTGGTCTCAATTCACATCTCATGGTTATATTGCCCTATCCCCAATGGTCCACCATTTCAATACAATAACCACCATCCCCTGTGCCCTTTACCCTTTATTCTTCATAACACTTCTTCCTCTGATAGCATGTATATTTTATTTTAAATATTTTTATTGATTTTTAGAGAGAGAGAGAAGCATTGATGAGAGAGAATCATCAATTGGCTGCCTCATTCACCCTCCTACTTGGGATTGAGCCCACAACCCAGGCATGTGCCTGACCAGAAATCAAATCAGCAACCTCTCGGTGCATGGGACAATGCTCAACCAACTGACCCACACCAGCCATGGCAGCATGCACATTTTAAAATCTGTTTATCGTCTGTCTCCCCCTCTGAAATACAGACTCCAACAGAGCAGGACTCTTGTTTTCTTATTTCTTAATCCCCAGTTCCCATAACAGCAGCTGGAAAACAGCAAGCACTCAACCAACACTTGTGAATAAAGCAATTAGTTGAATGTTCCCTCCCGACTCCGCCTGATAAACTCTCATTTATCCACCAGTCTCAGCTAAAAGACAACTTCTGTGCAGCCCTCCCCAACTGTCCCGGGGAAACTCTTGATACTCTGATGCACTTTCTCAAAGCTCTCACTGTACTTTTCCCATATCTCCACTACAGCTTTCTTACTAACTGGATAGTTTACCTGTCTCTCACTCAATGTAAGCTCCTTGAGGACAGGACTATGTCTCCTCATTCTTTTTTATTTTATTTTTTAATATACTTTTATTGATTTCGGAGAGGAAGGGAGAGGGAGAGATAGAAACATCAATGATGAGAGAGAATCATTGATCGGCTGCCTCCTGCACATACTGGGGATTGAGCTCGCAACCTGGCCATGTGCCCTTGACCGGGATTGAACCCGGGATCCTTCAGTCCGCAGGCCGACACTCTATCTACTGAGCCAAACCAGCTAGGGCACTGTCTCTTCATTCTTGCATTCCCAGCTGATCCAGAGAAGGTAGTCAGTAAGTGCTTATTAAATGAATATATCGATTTTAAAAAAAAGCTTTTCTCTGTGCAAGTACAACTGACCCATGAAGGGATTGGATTCATAAGTTGGGCTTCACTAACTCATTGGTTGGAGTCTGGTGTTAAACTGACCAAACTCCCTAACACTCATGACACACACACACAAAATAGTGACAAAGACACAAAAAGAATAGTTTTTTTTAAAAAATAACTTACCCATAATCCTCTAAGGCACATCCCAGCATAAGAAAAGTCAGTCCAATAGCCCCACTGAAGGATAATAACACAAGAGCTGTGAAAGATAAAGCCAAGAGTTACAGGTTCTAGATCAGTGGTTGCCAGGGGCTAGGGTAGGAGGGGAGGAATGAGAAGTGACTATATTGGGTATAGAATTTCTCTTGGGGGTGATGAAATGTTTTAGAATTAGTAGTGATGGTTGTGAATATATTAAAAACACACACAGAATTTAACATTTTAAAAGGGTTAATTTTGTGGTATGTGAATATATCTCAATAAAAAATTTTAATTAAAAAAATTAAGTCCACAATTTAAGCAAACACAGCAATTTACTTATTTCATTAGTTGATGTTACATTTGACTAGCATATCATTGCCTATGCCCACCACTTTTAAATCATTAGATGGAGAAAGGTGTCAAGAATTTCCAGTACCCATCCTCTATCTACTGTATTAATTCCCTCTATATTTGTCAGAAGAGGGCAGCCAGGCAGTCTGTACACCTCCAGTGAAAGGAAACTTACTGCCACCTTAGGCAGGTCATTTCATTCTGACAGTTTCTAAATGTTGAAAACCTCTTTCCTTAAATTATATGCAAAATTGCTTCTCTGAAATATATACACTTTGAACATTTTTGCCTCCCCAAACCTCAATACTTTAAGTATTTGGAGATTGCCTTCATGTCTTCATAGAAAATTATTCTCAACTACTAAATAAAATATGTATTCCTGGCATCTATGGGACACTAATCTCTGAGGGGAGAGGAACACATCTGTCCTTATGCTGCTAACGTGTTAAAAAATCTTGAGTTCTGAGTCACCAACATTTGTTCAAATCTTCTCTGCCACCAACTGGTTGTGTGACCTTGTGTAGAAGCTAAACTTCTCTAAATCTGATTTCTCACCTGTAAAGTAGTAATAATAGTACCACCTTATTAGGGAGCTTATAGTAATTAAATGAGATAATCTATGTAAAGTGGTTGGCAAAAGGAGGGATTCAATAAGTAAATGTTGATTGATGTAGGTATCTGCTCATTTTAGCAATGTTCTGATAATGGTATAAATCAGAAGCATAGGACACTATATTATCCAAATATCCTTCTGAAAAAAATACCTAACACTCAAAATTAGTAACTGATTAAACTAACCAGCATTCTCATTGCTTACTGTTACATTAAGAGATTTGGAGGGAATGTTTTATAGGAAGATGCCAAAGTGCTTTTAAGAAACACCTAGAAGTATGTATGTAGGTATTAGAGGACAAGGAAAGAATAATTTTAATTTGTATATTTTTCCATTTAGTAGGTGTCACTTTTTAAAGAAAAATGTACAAAAGTAAGTTTTTATGTATTATTTCATTAAGGAGAATCTCTTCCTAGTTGTCTTTGTCCCCTCGCTGTGCCTGACCATCTATCTGTACTGCTCCCTCCTCCAGGACAGCTTTCAAAGCTAGGGACCGCAACCTCTTCTTTCTGGTCTGTGACACCAGTCCCTCAAGGTTCACAACTGTATACACAACTGTGTATCTCTGGTTGATTCTTTTTAGTCCTTTTTTTTTCTTTTTCAGAAATTGCATCCTCTCTGCCTCTTAAAGTTGGAGCTGACCAGGATTCCAACTTCATCTTTTTTCACTCTATGCTCTTGTTGAGATGATGCGTTCAACCCAAAGCTCCCTGGCACTGCAAGGTTCTGGCCACATAAATGCTGCACCTCCAACTCCAATCTTGTCTTCTCCCTCTGAGTAGCCAACAAGGACCTCAAATTCAAGATGTGAAAAACTGAAGTATCCCCACTCCCTCCTCCCACACAAACATTTCTTCCCTTTTAAGGTTCTATCTTGAAACACCAACACCATCATTGCACTATGTCCTCTAGAAAAACAGCAAATCAAGGTGTCTCAATCTCCCAGACCTCACTGCTACAGACTGAAACGTGTATGCCACCCCCACCTCAACCCTCAAAACTCATGTTAAATCCCAAGGCCTAGTGCAGGGGTGGGCAAACTTTTTGACTCGAGGGCCACAATGGGTTCTTAAACTGGACCGGAGGGCCGGAACAAAAGCATGGATGGAGTGTTTGTGTGAACTAATATAAATTCAAAGTAAACATCATTACATAAAAGGGTACGGTCTTTTTTTTTTTTTTTAGTTTTATTCATTTCAAACTGGCCCGGATCCTGCCCGCGGGCCGTAGTTTGCCCACGGCTGGCCTAGTGTGATGGTACTGGGAGGCGAGGCCTTTGGGAGGAGATCAGCCCACAAGGGCAGAGCCCTCATCAATGGGATTAGTGCCCTCAGAAGAGACCCCAGAGAGCTCCCTTACCCCTTCTACCATGTGAGGAATCAGCAAGAGGATGGCTGTCTATAAACCAGGAAGCAGGCCCTCATAGCAAACAGCTGGCATCTTGACCTTGGACTTCCCAAACTCCAGAACTAATAAAATAAATTTCTGTTTAAGCCACCCGCTTTATAGCAGCCTGCTTCTCTTGAACCCTCTGCTACTGCCTTAGCACAGGCCCTTATCATCCCGTGCCTGCCTCTAATCATCTCTTCCAATCCACCCTCTTCACAGCAGACAGTGTTCTCTCAAATATACAAAGCTGGTGTCATCTCTTCGCAGTTGCTTTCATAGCCGACAAGTTGTTCTGGCACTTGAGGATCAACGTGGTCTGATCCCTGACTGCCTCACCACTCTCCCACTTAATAATACAGACGAAGCTCCTGGTGGAGAGAACAGGTGTGCTCTTTCATGCCCTCTGCTCCGTGCCACATGCTGTTCTCTCCACTTGGAATAAACTCTATCCTCACCCCAGCCTTTGCCAGGTGAAGCCTTACTGATCCTTTTAGCTTCCATTCAAGGATTGCCTCTTCTGTAGAAAGGATTCTCCTTGTCCCCAAAGCAGGGTCAAGCGATCCCATCTGTACTAGTTACTAGGGCTGCTATTAACAATGTACCAACTGAGTGGCTTAGGACAACAGAAATCCATTTTCTCCAGTTCTGGAGGCTTGATGGTGTCGGGAAGGCGTCGGTGTCCGTCATGGTGTCCACGCCCCAGTGGCTTCCGGCAATCTTTGATGCCCCCTGGCTTGCAGCTGCCTTGCTCTTCTTTCTGCCTTCATCTTCATATGGCATCTTTCTATGGTGTCCCTATATGTCTCCCCGTCCAAATTTCTCTTATAAGAACAAGGATTCTTATAAGTCCTTGGGTGAGGGCCCAATCGAATCCAATATTAACTTAACTTGATTACATCTGCAAAGACCTTATTTCCAGAAAAAGTCACACTGACAGGTCCTGGGGGAGTCAGAACATATCTGAGAGACATGACTCAACCACACCACCATCTCTGTGCTCCCACGGTACCTGAGCATGCCTTAAGTTAGGAAAATAGTAACTACTTCCAACTCCCTTGCCCAACAATTTCCCAGGTATCTTTTTATCCCAAGTCTCAGGCAGACAGTAATCCCCGAGTTACCTGCAAAAGCTTCCTTCCCTTAATCCTTTTCCATGTCATAACCTAGCTTCCTTCACCATTTCTAACACGTTCACACCTAAGCATTATTATTTGATCGTTTCTGGGCATGACTAAACGGCGCAATACAGATACTACCTTTGTCAACTGTTTTCTGCACTGGCTTCAAGTGGCTGTATTACCCAGGGGCCACTGTCCAAATACATCCTGTTTACTTAACGGATGTGGAATATAGGGCCACCCAGAAATAATGATAAAATGTGTCTGCTGCCAACAGCTCACACGCTCAGATAGATTGCACAGTGAACATACCCATGCGTGCAAAGATGTTGTATACAAGTTTACAGCAGGTGGGGAGATCTCTGGATACACGTTTTAAAGAAAAGAGGAACTCCAGCAAAGAAACAAGTTATGCCCTCTACCCAAAAGATTACAAATTTAATGGTTTCCTCCCAATATAACAGGAAACCTTCCAATAACCTCTCCCAACGCCGGCGTCCCCCGGTCCTCCGAAGGCACACAGATTAGGGAAGCGGTGTTCTCGGTTACCCCCCTGTTCTCGGTACCCCCGTCTTATCAACCACACCCCCTTTTTTTTATCAACCGCACCATTCAAAAACACATACTGCACAAACACCCCTTTCTTGTTTGTCCAAAGATGCAAGTAACGATAACATGCCACCTAATTTGCTCTCCACAATTACGAGAAATGCAGCATTTCTGGGTGCTTTCCACGAACACCCGCCTGCAGTCGGCTCGGCCTCCTTGGAAAACATCCTCAAGGAACAAGAGGATTAAATGTCCCAGAGCCGAGAGCGCTGCAGACAAAGGCTCGCGGAGCGACAGGAAGAGAGAGAAGGGGCGTCCGGGTGGACACGGCAGGAAGTGGGAACTTGGTTAAAAACTCGGCGGTGCGGGGGCTGGGGGGGCCTTCCGAGGAGCTGGGAGGGGATGCTCCGGGCGGGCAGGGTCCCCCAGGCGGGCACCGCTCCCCCGCGAGGTCTCGGCCAGGGGCTAGAGCAAAAAAAAAAAAGAGGTGTGGGGCTCC